GATTTTTTTTTTTTTTTTTTTTTTGAGATACGCGATGTCCTTATGAGTCAAGTTTGAAATAGATATCGCGCGGTAAAACCCTTCGAGTCGGACATGAACCTGACTTTTAAACTGGATCATATATATTCGAGGGTCACACACAATTTCTACCGAAAAGAATTTATGAGTGTTACATGGGTGTAACTCTCTCAGTTATCGACCTTGAATAATCGTGCGACTGGTTGAGAAATAAAAAGAGAAAAAAAAAAAATAATGCGATAAAAAACAAAACGTCCTCTCTTACCTTATTCGCAGCTGTGAAGAAACAAAGTTACACATCAACTAGACAGGACGCAAAACTTCACATGGGATCAGTGATGATGATGACTTTTGCCAATCGTCCTGTAGTATCGAAGACTTGAGAGGTTACCGCTCTCATATTGGAGAAACTTGTTGTCCTCCAACGGTTATTGCTAGGCAGACGTCTATCGATCAGCAATATATGTGATAATGTCTCTCCGATATATATATATATCGCCTAGAAAACAAATTATTAAATTATAAAAATGTGAGTTAGCCAATATTAGTTGGTTCAAGAAATTATTTTCCATTTAAATATAAAAAATTATTTGGTTCAAATAAAAATTTATTTACTATTTGAATTATTTATTCTAAAAATTGTATTTTTTTAATAATAAAAATTTTTCAACTAATTTAAAATATTTACCTTAATAACGAATTTTCAGCTTCAAGGAAATATTCTTTCAAACTAAATAGCCCTCGGAGATCCCTACTTTCAAGTTAAATTTCCATTTAGAAAATGGGAAAAATAACCGTAAAAATAGACCGAATTCTAAAAAGTCTGAATATGGAAAATTCTGTGCGACATCACAAGCCATCGAGGATAGAATCTGCAAAAAAAAAAGAACAAGATTTTATATATTTGAGTTAAAATTAAATAAAATTAATTTAATACTCGAGTTTGCTCTATATATTTATATCGTGTTAGATGAAAAAATAATATATTCGCGGATGTAAACATAATTATTGATTCTCTTACTATAAATATAATGTAATAAAATATTTGATGAATTCTAAAATTTAATCGAGGACTTTTAGAAAACTATTAGTTTTATGACGAGTTTTTTTTTTTTTTTAAATTTATAGTGTTTTAAAGGACAAAATTAACTTTTAACATTATAAATAAAACAATACTGTGAAAATTAATTAAGAATAATCAACTTTGATGATAATGAAGTTCAAAATATTGATCATAAACGATTTGTAAATAAATGTTAAGAACTTCACGATAAATTGAATTAAAATTTTACATATTTAGATCATTTTTAATGTAGGAAAAAAAAATGTAAATTATGAAATAATATTTTTTTACTGACAAGTGTTTCGTTATTTATACAATTAGTAACATTAAAAAAATGTCAAATACGTGAGTAACTCAAAGAATCACATAAATAATTGAAGAATTTTAATTTTAAGATAAAAATGTCGATTATTATTGAAATAAAAAAAATGCGTTAAAATACAAATTTCTGTAACACCTATAGTAAGTAGAAAGGAATTTAATGATTCAACTTTTAAAGTAAATTTTCTCTCAATGATGACAAAAGTTCACAAAGAAAATTCCTCCACGAATTACCTTATCTGTTCATTAAATGACCTATTTATTTGTTACTTGTTTTGATGTATATGGACTTGAACTTGTATGTTAGTGGTTCAACGGATCTGCAAATTTATATATATATATATATACTAACAGAGATGATATCGTATATTTGAATTGAGAATCAAAATGTTAAAAAAAATGCGTCGAAATAAAGTTTCAAATTATTTTACCTTCTATATGTTCTTTAAAAAGAAAAAAAATCAATTAATAAAAAAAAAACGTATAAGAGAATTTTTCAACTTTTGAAACGCAAGAATGAGATTTGCACGTGCGTAATCTATACCTTTCCAACTTTTAAATCAAGGATAAACCATGAATATTTAAAAAATGATATAGATGACAAATCTCCAAATAAAATATATATACATATTAAACAGTTCTGCGAATTTAAACAAAAAAATTTCTCCAATCATATCAATATCAAATCAATATAACGTAATAATTATCTTCAAAGCATTTAATAAAAATTAAAATCGATTAATTAAAAATCAATTGTTCTAAAGCTTTGTATATTATTTAAAAAAGTGGATAACTTTTTTCAACGAAAAGGAAATAAATTTTGGCAAATTGTTAAAATTATTTGCATCTTTAAAAACAAAATCAATTTTTTTTTTTTATTCCATTTTCTCTGATTCTTTGGAAAATGTAGAGTTATTTTTAGAATATGTTGCTTTTTATATCCTTCTGATAGTAAATTAATCTCCTAAAAACATTTTTGAAATGAAATACGAGACCTTTACGAATATACACTTACTGTAATTAAGCAAATTGTATTAGCTATTTTTATAAAAATGATTAATGCTGTTTACATTAACCTAAATTAGAAAAATTGATTGTTGAAATATATATCTTTACCAACATTATTAAAAAAAAATATGTAATAAAAATCCGTTTAGTAACAAAAATTATTGTAACTATCTATTGTTTAAAGGCTTGAAGCAAAACGGTTTCTAACCTACAAGATTAAAAATTTAAATAATATATTTAAACTAATGAAATGAAAAAAATTCTTGAAGGCACTTAACCTATTAAAGATTTCAATGAGATTAATATTTCAACAAAATATTGTTCAAATATTTAATAATTAACTTTTATATTGTTTTTTTGTTATATTTTACGCAAAATAAGAAATTGAGAAAAAATTTTCTTACCCATTTGTACATTACTCGTTGAAGGTAAAATAATCTTCCAAATTAAAATCACTCATCTAATATAAACACTCAACTATTATAACAACTATCAATGAACGTAATTAATTTAAAATTTAACACAAAAATTAAAAAGAAATGGCTAAATTTATGAATTATAAGCTGATAAAAAAAACTAAAACAATTTTCAAGATGGCGTCTTTGCAAAATTTTTAGTTGCCAAAAATATATGTCGAAAATAAAGTTTTAAGTGAACAAATATTATTGAAACTTTATGCCTAACGAAAAGAAGATTGAAATTTAAATCACTGCTTATTATTTAAAAACTTTTATCATTATAAAATAATGTAAATATTGACAATTTCACAAGAGGTAACTGATTCCCTTACCAGCGCAACACAGATAATAAAGGCGGGAGACAGTGTTGCCATCTGTCTATAACTCACTAAAATACAAAATGCTACCAACATATTGCGCGGCAAACAAACATAAAATATATTTCAAAAAATCTATCAATTATACAATTTCCTTTGCAAAATTTGTAATTTTAGTTAAATTTTATATTTATTTAATTCTTAATATTAATTTAAAAGAACAGCTTACTTTTAAATTAATTGAAAAATTAAAAATGAATTTTTGAACAACGACGCCATGATACAGGAAAAAGTTCCCACCAATCATCTTCTTATAATTCTAATTTCAAGAGAATTCTAGTTTCCCATTGGATATTATCCAATTTTATAACTAAAATTGTCACTTCCAGATGGCGTTTTAAAACCGCAGTAAATCATTTGCGTTCTTGCTGCATTTGTGTGCAAAACTGCAATTAAATTAAAGCTGATTACGTTTACAGATTTGGCTGAATTTCAGCCTTTCTGCAAACAATGACGGCTCACGACCAAATGCGAGCAATGCTCGATCAACTAATGGGCACTGGACGAAATGGTAAGTAATAAATTTGCTATATATATATTGATTAAATTAAAAAACTACTTGCCACATTGGCTTCAAAACATGAAGCTCCTATAACCAAGCTACAAGATGGTGACCTACAAGTTGTACTTTCTATCGACCGTTAAATTACATATATAGTGAATAAATTGGAATCTTTTTTTAATATTTTATTTTTATTTTTAGGTGAGAATAATAAATTTCAAGTGAAATACTCGGATCCAAAAGTCTGCAAGAGTTTCCTGCTTGCTTGCTGTCCACATGAGATTTTGTCTTCGACAGTGAGTATATTTCTTTTGTAAGATTTATTTGGGCTCATTTTTTTTTAATTCCTCGATAAACTTTTTAATCGAATTTTTATGGGTACTTTAAACAAAATCCAATGCGATTAATGTTCCTTGATTTAAGTAATTACAAATTTAGATAAACAGTTATAACTAACAAATTAAACAATCTGTTTTATCAATATTTTGGAATAAATTATTTATTATAACATAATGTAAATATTAATGCTTATTATTTAAGCAATATTTTTATGTTATTAAAGTAAAGTTTGTTTTCAATTTTTAAATGTATTTTTTTTTTTTTAATAAGATTAACTTTTTTTTAATAAACTTTACTGTTTTATTTACAAATGTCAATTTGTTTGATATTTGTTCAAGGATCATTTTTTTATTTGTTACGATTATCAAATTTTTAAATTTACTATTTCAAATAATGTCGTCATAAAAAAATAGCATTGATAACAAACGGTATGGAGGTAAGATGTAAATAAACATTTGCAAAAATTCAAATTTCTGTGTAAAAAAAAAATAATAACAGTAAAAATTTCAATTTATAATACTAGATTTGAAGAAAATATCCATACTTTGGATACTATCTTTATTTTGTTTTTTTTATGCTAAAATTGTCTGTGTGATATAAATTGAAATAGATAAAAAATGAGTAATATTTTTTTTTCTTGTTGAATTGCGTGAAGGATGCAGCCGCTTAGGTTTTTAAATTTAGGTTTTTTTTTTTTTTTAAAAATAATTCTAATGAAAAAATAACAAGATTTGTTGAAAAAAGAACGAGATTTTAAAAGAAATTGTAAACTTACGGTTAACTAATATCGATGCGACTGCAGTTCTATTTCCAGAACGTCTGGAAAATGCAATTCCAATCCGATCCATTGTACAATATCGTTACGAATATTGTCCACTAGTATGTCGTTGTTCTTGTCACTATCACAAGCGCGTTACTGTAAGTACTGAAAACAAAAAGGACGTACGTATTAATATCTACCATTGATCTATTTAAATTAATTAAGATTCTATAAGTGATAATTAGCTGAAAAAAAAGAAGTCGCTGCGACCTTTTCACCCGAAAAATGGTGGCGAGGTTGAGCGCCGAAGCTATAGAGAAAAAAGAAAAAAAAAAAAAAAAAATTATTTATTTCCCAGACCCCGAGAGGCCTGTTCTAATGCGCTTCGGTGAGTAGCGTCCAAATACAATTGATTCGCAAGATTTAATTATCGTATTCTCGCCATTTATGGGAAATAGGAGTTAATTCGATGTGAGTATGTGTGTATAAAAAATAATTTACCTTGGGGAAAAATATTCATGCGGGTTCACAAAAAAAAAACGAAGCAAATTTTCTGTAAGTAATACTCGCGAATTGCCAAAACAAAAAAAAAAAAAAAAAAAAAAACACGTGCAAAGACTTTTTTTTCTTGAATATTCCTCCCTTTGTTGAAACAAAATAAAAATAAATAAACTTAAATGTGTAAATATCCTCTTTAAAGCCTTACGGTACTTTTTTTTTTCTTTTTTTACTTGCAATTGTTCGCTTTCTGTTTATTTCTCTCTACTTTCTGATTTGAGTTATTTAGTTTATTGATGTAGATTGCATGTTTTGTGATTGTCCATACATTGATTACTAAAAATTTTTCGCACTGAATAATATATATTCTATATATTTTTTTCCAAACACATAAAGTAGAAGAGGAAATACTTTCTTTTTTTTATTATCGCAAGCACGTGTGATTTGTTAGAAATGGAATTTTTAGAAGTCAATTGTTTTTCATTTAGAAAAAAAAAATATATTCTTTTTCTCTCAAGTATATCTGTTCGACATATATATATTTTTTTTTCTTCTTCTTTTGGCAATTTGTGAATGTTCGAGATTATAGAGGAGCAATAAAGATCAAGTGGGCTCGAAGAAGAGACAATATTAGGTGGAATTACACGACATGCCAGTGCTGTTTACAAAAATTCCCTCATCATTTATGGATGTACGTATTTTAATTCGATTTCTAAATTAAATCATTTAAGTGAGACGTAGGACGAATTGTCCGAATAATAAATATTGCATATAATCAAATATTAGGTTTTAAGATATGTCTGATAGAAAATTTGAATAATGTAAACTTAAGGTGTGTGCTGATTGTAGCATCGTTGCCATCGCATTGTCGCGTCAGGCGGAGAGGGTTGCCACTCTGTAAGTGAAATCAACAAAATATCTATCTCTAGAAATTATTTCGTTAATTCTGGTTAAGAAAATTTAAAAAAGAAATCTTAAGATCCAAGTTTATCAGGTGTTTTTTTTTTTTTTTACTATATATTAACGAAATTCAATTACTCTACCCCATACCAGAACTACTGGCCATTAGCTCTTCGTATACGTTCTCAATGGCAAATACAAGAGAGTTAACGACGCAATGGTGCATATTATTTTTGTAAGTCTGATTATTAAAGTTTTTAGCAAATTTTTCGCACTAAAGGCAAAAAAAAAAAAAAATCGGCTTCTCATTCAAAATTATTTCACCGTTAACAGTTAGTAATGTCGTTCAGACTTTGCTTTTATTTATACATGTATAAATAATTTGGATGCATTTCGCATTATACTGCTAAGGTCAGATGTTTAATGAGACCGGTCACATATAAATAAATCAATATCGGGAGGGATTCTTGTATTTAGAAATGGCAATGTGCCATGACCTTTACTATTAAAAAAAAAAAAAAGAACATTTACTAATTTTATTGTAATTTGTGAATCGCAGCGCATGGACCTGGGAGAATGCCCCCAGATTCACGACTTGGCCCTTCGGGCTGACTTCGAGGCTGCTCAAAAGAAGAAGGATCACTTTTATGACATTGACGTAAGTTAAATTATTTTCTTATATATAGTATTAAATTTTCAATTTGTAATTGTAATTTAATTCAATGTAACAAAAAAAAGAAAAAATAACTGATTTTATTAATATCAAATTAATTTCAAATGATTAACAGGCGATGGAACATCTGCAAAATTTCATTGCGGACTGCGACAGACGTACGGAGCAAGCAAAACAAAGACTGGCTGAAACTCAAGAAGAATTAAGCGCTGAAGTAGCAGCGAAAGCAAATAGCGTTCATATTCTTGCTGAAGAAATTGGCAAAAAATTGGCAAAAGCAGAACAATTGGGTGAGGAAGGTTTTGTTGAAGAATCAATGAAATTGATGGGTGAAATCGATGAATTGCGTAAAAAGAAAAATGAAGCTGAGCAAGAATATCGAAATAGCATGCCAGCATCAAGTTATCAACAACAAAAGCTACGTGTTTGCGAAGTGTGCAGTGCTTATCTTGGTATACATGACAACGATAGACGGCTAGCCGATCATTTTGGTGGGAAATTACATTTAGGATTTATCAAAATTCGTGAGAAATTGTCCGATCTTGAGAAGACAGTTGAGGATAGACGTAAAGAGAAACGAGATTCAATGAATGACAGAGATAGAACAAGAGATCGTGATAGGGACAGAGGTCGAGATAGAGACAGGGATCGTGATCGTGAACGCGACAGAAGTCGTTCAAGATACAGGGACAGAGAACGTGATCGCGATCGTGATCGTGATCGTAGAGATAAAGACAGAAGGAGATCACGATCGCGTAGTCGCAGTCGAGGAAAAAGGTATTTTAATAAATTTGTATTTTATTTAATTTTTTTTTTTTATTAAAAAATTTATCATTTTTTAATGATGAACAATAAGGCCGAGTTGAGTTCCTTTTCAAAAGTTGAGCCTTGAACTCAAGCGTCTCCTTTTGATGAAGGACTTGATCATACAGGCGAAGCGATTAATACTGAAACAATGAAACTATTTTTCAAAAGTATGTTTCATTTGTCCTGGGAAAAATAATTAATTATTTTTTTATTTTCAGATCGCGACGTTCACGCAGTGGAAGTCGAAATCGACGATCTCGTTCACGACGAAGTGGATCCAATGATAGAAAGAAGTAAGACAATTTAATAAAGGGTCAAATCCACGTGCAGTATAAAACGCACTCCGAAAAAAAAACAAATATATTACTGATAGTTACAATTTTACACATCACCAGTTAATTTCTCTCAGTTAATTGTTAATTTCTTCGCATTCATGTGACAAAATAGATTATTTCTTATTGAAAATAGATAGCTTTGGAAGTGGCTACTTGTTGTAATTGATTTTCATATATGGAATGGATAAATTGATTGATCTTATATGAAAAATAGATATATAGATATATATCTCTAGAATTAGTAATTTAAGAAAATTATTATACACCGACTTTATACTACTATTTTGAGTTGTTTAGTGATGAGGGAAATTTACAATAAGCACTGCTGTTTATACATGGACGAAAAGCATCAGGTAATTTTAATTAATTTTTGTGTTTCTCTTTTTCAAATTTCAATTTCATATTTATAGAAAATAATAATTGTGTAATGTACCAGAAGAAACAAAAATAAAATACACATGTGTTTAAATGTTTCTTACTCTTATTTAAAACACATTTATTTTGTATCTTTATAAATATTGAGCAATTCAAAATTTTCTAATTATCTCGCTCTATTATCATTTAATTTGATAATTTTTCATTCATTTTCAAAATTAAAATTTTTCTTTTCAACAATAATTTATTTAAAGTTAGGAAAATACTGGATTGCTGAGTAATACACAATATTTACAGCCAGCTTCGAAAAATTAATGACAAATATTCTATTTTCAATCTTGAGCGTTGTTTTAAAACAAAAATTCTAAACATTTGTCATTAATTGCCTTTGGATTCGATTGTGTTTCTTCCAGCATTTTTTACAAGTCGACACTATTTTATGAAGGCTCACCTTTGGAGGGGCTTTTTGTTTACTTAAAATATTTAAATAAATTCCTAAAACGACAAGAAGCCCAGACCAAAGATACTGGAAGGTGAATGGCTTATAGAAAAATAGAAAACTTAATATTATTGTCACAGCTTTTCTACATGTTGTCACAGTTGCAGCTACAAATGCTCCGCAAGTTTGTACCAAAATAAGAACTATCTGAATCCCCAGATAACCAGAGAGTGAAAACAGAAGAGCATATCCATACGTTTCCAAAGGATGCTAAAAAAATTAATTTTTATTCCATTTTGAAATTCCTGCTAAAATTTTGCTTATGTCAGATTTTATTCGACCAAATAGAAATTCCGGTTAAATGAAAATTTAGCTAAAAATTTTCCTAAATGACAATAAAACTAAAATAAAAATTCTATTACACAGCCGTTCGAGTTTAATAAAAATTCGATTATAAAAAAACAAAATTTGTTTAATTAAAAGTTCTGATAAACAGAAATTCGGATCAAATTTCTACTTTATAAAATTTAGCTAAATGGAAATTCGATTAATTATATTGAATGCTTGAAATATTAATAACCCGTTGTAAATGGGTACAACAGTTATTTATAAATAAAAAATTAAAGGATTATTAAATTACCTTCATGCAAAAAGATGTCGCTGTTGGAATATCGCCTGTTGTTATAAGTATTAACAATAAATACACGAAGCCAATGCTGTAGGAGTATAAAACAACTTCTGTGTTTGTGGCTTTATACAAATTCATTGCTTTTTCCTGAATATTTCCAATTAGAGCATCACATACTAAAGCACTGCTAATCATTGCCACTCCAATCATGTTAAATCGTGGCGATATCATACTATCGGCAAGGGTAAATAGTATCAGTCCTAGACACATCACAGTCGCTGCTGTAAAATCTAATGGTCCATATTTTTTTCTTTGTATTACAATACTTCCTATCATTACTGGTATTAGTTTACAGCACTTGAATATTACCTGCAAAAATAGTATTCATGTAAGATATATATATAATTTTAATTGCAGATTCTGATTTTTTTTTCTATATTCATTTGTTATTAGATAAAAATAAAAAATATGTAATTGTTATAATTACCTGGGTTGGATAATTAAGATATCCTAAAGAAGAATTCGAAAAACCCATTGTGCCTAGAGTTAAAAGTGCTAACAATAAATAAGTGCTAATGGGTATTCTTCGTGTTACTCCTTTGATTTTACACTCAAACCAACCAAATACTGAATAATATGCAAATTGAATGAGAGTTAGATACCATCCAAATGGTCTGAATCCATCTAAAGAAAATATCGTTTCCTAAAAATATAAATAAATATTAACATTATGTTTCTTTGAAGTTATATTTTAAAATATATATAATTCTTTTTTTTAAATTATTTATATTTATAAATTTATCATTATAAAAAAAGGGCACTGATAATAATTTACCTGTAAATATCCGTACAAAATGTAAAAGAAAAATATCCCAAAACAACAAAAGAAAAATTGTACTTGTACACTGCAATGGCTTATATCAAAGCAGAGAATTTTTATCTCTCTGGGAGATTCATATTTTGTATTACCTGAAATAAAAAAATTTAAAAGCTGTATATAAAATCATTTAATTAAATACAAAATACTGAACAATTAAAAATATTAATTATTGTTTTATAAAATACATATTTTTAAGTGTAATTTTTTACAAGGAAAAAATAATTTTACTTATGATTTTAAAAATCATTTTACTTAGAATTTATATAACTTATTAATAAATTAGATATTAAATTTGTTAAATATACTTACTTTTCGTATTGTCAATTAAAATACTTTTGGATTCGGAATTCATTGTGTATTTTTAAAATTTTTTACTTATAAACATAACCTCTTATTAATTTTTACGCACGTATGAAACTTAATGCATTTTGATCAATTTTTCCAATTAAATTAAATCAACTACATTTTATCTGTCTTTATATCTTATTTCATACATTATAAAAATATAATAGATTATATTAATATATGTTTAAATATCCTACAATTCGCCGACAAAATTATAGGATCCAAATTTTACTCATTCGCACTGAATTTTCAGAAAAAATAAAAATACAGTTTATTTAAATTGTTGAATATTTTAATGTTTAAATTTCACACAATTTAAAATTATTAGTTATACTTGTTTCAGTATATATATTATTTTGCCACGTACAATACATACAATGATTCTAATGATAAAAACGATAAAAACTATTGTTGTCAGTTTTCAGTAACGTACGTATAATGGGGGTTTAAAAATAATTAAATTTAAATAAATTAATTCAAATTATAGTTTTTTTAATCAAGTTTTTACTACCTATATTATTCTTATTTATATTTTTAAATAATTTTATTAGAAATTAAAATATCTTTTTTTTAAACCGCTTTTTTTTAAAAATGTAAAAAATTTTAATTAGAAAACAAAGCACTAATTGGTTTAAGTTACAATCAGAAGAAAGAAAAATTGATTAACTAATTTTTTAGTCAATAAAACGATTGACCATGAAACGATCGTAAATTTATTTAATGAATCATTAAAATTATTCAATTAGAATTCAATTTCTTACTTTCAAAATTTTTGCGAAATTTATTATGCGATTTTGCATTATAACAATGATGACTACGAATAATACATCAGGTAGGTTGACACATTTTTATATTATAAAATATTAAATAATTTGCTCCACTTATACAATTTAAAACTACAATTTTTTAAGTTAAGATATAAACAATATTTTATTAAAATAAGAATTTATATTAAAACTGTATTACAATTCGAGTACAAATTTTATTAGTTTTTTAATTCATTAAATAAGTATATGTATAAATATAAAGAAATTGATTATGCATTTTATGCATCATCAAATTGACCGTCCTCAATGGTACGTGGTGACATTCTTCTATCATTATATATTAGACGAACTTGTTGTTTAATGGGTACCGCATGTAAATCATCAGGGCAGAAAAATTGACTGTGAAATTTTTGCGGTATTGATGATGCATGTCTTCTTCGACTTGTATCTAATAAAATAATTCAATTAATAAACAGTAGATAGAAAAAATTCTTTTTTTTTAAATAAAATTAAAATATAATCTTACAAGTTGGTTCATAATCATCAGTAGAATCCTCTGACAATTCCCAATTTTCTTCATCATTATTGCACACTCGATCACTGAAATAAAAATGGTTATTTAAATTTTACTATTTTTATAAACATAAAGTTAATTATTATAAAAGGAAATTTTTTTAAATTCATATTTATAAAAAAAAAAAAAAAAAAATTAGGAAACTCACGAATCTTCCGCATGTTCATCACTTTCATAATAATCGTATTTTCTACTTGAATATGATCCATCACGTGATTCAGTTTCATATTCTTCTTCTTGTGATGGAATTTTCATTTCATTGCTTCTCTTCGTAAAACTCACGCATTTTTCACGCATTGATTTTCGAAAATTTTCGTAAGACATATTCCTGATCTAAAGTTTCTATATGATTAAAATTATAATACCTCTACAAAAATATAATGTATAAAAAATTGTTATACATTTATTTTAAAATATTTTTAAAAGGATTATTAAATAAATGATGAGTTTTTTTTTAATGAAAAATTTGTACTTTAAAGAAATGTTAACTTACTGTTAAATTATCAGTAGAAAAAAAATTACAATCAATGTCAATCGCCTCCAATTGTTCTAAATTAACAGCATTCCAAGGTACTTCCATTAGTTCATTATCATATAAATCAAGTACACGTAATTCCTTTAAATTACACATGGATTCAGGTAAATTTGAAATTTGATTTCCATATATTGTTAATTCCTTGAGAGCAATTAAATTTCCAAAATTATCCGGAAGTACTGATAGGGAATTATTGTTAATTATTAAAATTTGCAATTTTATTAGATTGCAAAATTCATCAGGCAACCATGCTATAGTATTGTGACTGAAATCAATATTGGTAATATTGGTTAAATTCACAATGAATCGTGATACCATTGGAAGTCCAGTTCCCTTCATATCAATTTCTTTAATCAAATGTGGATTTTTTAATTTTGGACCAGGTACATTGCAAAATGTGTTACCTTCCTTTTTTGCGAAACTATCATTTCCAATATCTAATTTTTCAAGTCTATACATATTTTTTGTTAACAATTCTAGAATATTGTCTGTTAAATCCGATTGATTCAATGAAACATTTCTTAAATTTAAAACAGCATTTTCCTTTGGAAATGTAAATTTAAGAAAGTGTGTTTGATTAAAATTTACTTCCTCAAGTGAAGAATATGCCGATGTTAATAACCATCTTGGAAATGTGCGACAAGTATTATTGTCTGTTGCATAAAATTTCATCAATCGTTTACTACACGGCGGTACATTAATTTTTATATTCAAATTAAGAGATAAATCAAGAATTTCTAAATTTCTCATTCCATCTGTTATACATCCTGGAATTATATCAAATTTATTTCCAGCAATATTCAATTCACGAAGACGATTTAATTTTGCAAATGATTTAGGAAATTTTGTTAATTTATTGAAACTCAAATTAAGAATTTCTAAATTAATTAAAAATCCTAATTCCTCATCAATTTCATTCAGTGTATTGTGGCAGATGCTTAAATATTTTAAACGTCGATTACCAACAAGAACTATTGGCATTGTTTGAAATTTATTATTATCCATTTTTAAATGTTCCAATTTTGTTAATAAACTAAAAGAAGTTGGCAATTCTTGTAGATTGTTATTTGATAAATCTAATTTCTCTAAATTAATTAGATGCTGTGAAAAATTATTTGGAATAAAAGACAATTTGTTGAAGCACAATGATAATTCATGTACAATTGTTAAATCCATTTTATCACAGAATTCAATTATTGAATTATCTATTAGTTGAAAATTCATGTTGATTTGCGTGTCCACAGACATTTCGTCAATTTTGTCTGCTTCTATCTTATTAAGATAATCGGACATTTTTCTATTATTGTTTTCTGCCATATCTAAAAAAAAAAGAGAGAAATAATTTTGTATGACCAAATAAAAGTAATGAGTTCGTTCAGTAATGGTCTCGTTAACCAATTAATTAAAATAATCAAAGTAAATACGAATAATAATTTTGAAAATTAGAGTTGAAATTTATTAATTTTTTATTAAATTTAATTCAAAGTTTCATTTCAAATATAGGGTGACAAATGGACAAAAAGGTTAGAATTACATTTTCGATATTTTACTATATAAAATATATAAAAAGTTGAGTAAATTTACTAACCTAATTCTGATTAGTAACTCCTGACATTGAACAATAATGTAAAATTTTTCTACTTATTGATCTAAATTAAATAAAATAATGAATTTTCAATATAAACAATTGTTTTAACGATTTATCCAAACTAGTTGTTTAATTGGTTAAGTTTGAGCAAAAAGTTGACAAGTTTGTCAACAGATGTCGCAGTAACTTGGTTCTATGGAATTTTAGCATTGCAGATTGGCAACCCTGTATAAGAATTTCAGTGCCAAGATGGCTTCCATAATGTTCAGTTATGTCGTGTGTGTGTGCAGTTTTAAAACGTTTTTAAGATAGAAAATAATCGCGTTTAATCCAGTATTATTAAATTTTCGTCAAGTGTAGTTAATATTAATCGTGTTATTAAAGATTTGTAAGTAATCATCGTTAGGTTTTTGTAAAAGATTAAAACTCTTTGCCACTTGTACATATACGGGAGGTATCATTTTTCATTGTCGGTTTAACTACAGAAAAGTAAAGAATATCAATCCTTCTTTTATTCTGTTTAACATCTTTCTTAAAGTTCATCTTTTTTCTCATCTTTCGATAGTTTAACGATGTTATTACAATCTATTAATATCTTGAAAAATTAATTCGACTAGTTTACAATTTTTTAACGGCTAAAAGCGCGGTAAAACGACTTTAGTCTACGAAGTTGATGTATTCGCCGACAGGTGGCGCTGAAACTTGCTTCTTGGCAATCTTACCATGTGTAGGAACCTTATAATCAAGATGGCGTCTGTTGTTAAGTTCAAAGCCGGTTGTGCATATTTTGAAAAAACCTTTATTAGTGAGGAAGAAGTTGATTGTTACTTTTTTAGTAAATATGTGACAGTGTTGAGTGCTCCTAATCAAAAGTCATCCAAGTACGAAAATGAAAGATGTCGAAAATCAGCACGCGTTTTCAACGCAGTAAGGTAACTGAATATCTTATATTGTAGTTTTGCATAATATATAAATATTGATTTTTTGACTATAAAGAAAAATGATTAATAAGGAATCAAAACAACAAAGTGGATTGAGTAGGTTTTTTTTTATTTTCTTTAGATGAACGTACACACTCTGTTTTTACGTTTTTCCTATCTGGTACACTACACATTTTACACATTTTTTTTTTATATAATTCTTTTCCGTGATTTATGTAGACATTTGAAGCTTTGTTTTTTTTTTGCGACAGACGTATTTATCATATTATAGACAGTTATAATATTTTTGTTGTAGTTGTTAATAATCTTGACTGATATAACCTCAAAGTCGTCATATAGGGTTTATAAGTGTTTTTGATTGCACTTATATAGTATTTTTAACGCGAATGATTATAATGTGCCACATAGGAATGCATTCAAACTTCATATCTACACGAAGAAAGAATCATATTTTCCTCAATTTACAGAAATAATATAAGGAATTTTTTTTTTTTTTTTTTATAAATAACTTAGAAATTTGTAAAAAAAATTTTCTCTCTGTTACAATTGAAAAGAAAAATATCTTGCAATTGTTGCGTATAAAATTCTGTAAATTAAAAAAAATTCTTTTTTTCATTCGTGTAGTACGCGCTAAAGAAAATTATCGGAATCTTTTCTTAAAAGTATGACTTTACAAATAAGAAATTAACTGACAATGACATGATTTCAAGCTACGGTGTTCTCCTCAATGAACAAAAAAAAAAAAAAAATAAAAATCATATAAAATAACAAAAAAACAATGAGGATTCTGAGATTAGGTATTTCTAAACCCTTTATAAAAATAGTATCCAACTGTGTAAAAAGTACATTCTTTAAAATATCAATTTTTTTTTAAATTACACTCGTTTACTAACAAATTAAATACAAAAACAAATTCATTTCGAGGCCTTATATGGTCAAGAAAATATTATTATATGTTTCTCCATATATTACAAGCACAAAAATTTAATTTAATTTCTCACTGATTAGTATAATCTTCACATGACTAAATTATTAATATTAATTAAATGATGCAAATTATGCATGATAAATTATTTGGACGATCGTTTGAAAAAAAAAAAAAATATGATTGCATAAAATGGAATATAAGAGTACTAGTACACGTGAGACTCTCAAATAATTATTAAACGATATACATATATGCTATTTTGCCTAGCTCTTAAACCATGTTAAAATATATATACACTCTTTTTATATATATAATATATATATTATAATTCGATTTATCTTTCACACACATGCATACCCAGACTCTCTTTCTCTCTCTTTACATGCATATATCTCTTCATTTTGGTAGACGTATACAAACGCGGAAGCCCAAGTATACGAATACATAATAATATAAGTGCATTTTTTTAAAAAATTTCTTTTAACTGTATTATATATTTATATATATATATATATAATATATATGGTCACTTGTAAAATTCATTGCTTTTATAATTCCATTAAGAATTAAAATCACACGAAGACAGGCAATTTGTATTTTCGATAAATTTCTCTTGTTCGATCAACAGTTTTATTTTTTTTTTTATAATTATTAAAGTTTACATTAAAAATATCATTTTCTTTTATATATTCATTTAATTTTTTTCTATGATAAATTGGCCTTTGAGGATTTTTCTTTCTGATAAATAACATATATATACGATGTGCACTGTCAAAAAATGTGCTGCTCAAGTACTGTATAGTTTGCATTTTAATTAAGCACTTATTGTTTAATGTAAAAAAATACACATCTCTCAATTTAATAGAAAAAAAAGTATAATTTTTTATCATTATAAATTGTTAACATTATTTTAATTTGTTTATAAAATTATTGAAAATTTATCATTATTTTTATGTAAAAAAAAAATTCTAAACGTTTTTCATATACATGGAAATTAAATTTGCAGCTATTCTCTCTCTTGATCGAAAAGACATTTTTTTTTTTTAACGATATTCTTTAATTTTTTTGTTTGATAACATATATATATATATATATACGAGAGACGTAAGAGTAGATATATTATGTACAATAAAATTGTCCATTTAAATATACTTATTCTGGAATGTTCAGTTGACTCTGCTATAGTATATTCCTTTGAAAGCAGTTAAATATGTGCAAAGCCAGCAAAGCATTATGGGCGGTACAAGCAACATTTATAATAACTATTTCGCACGCGATTAGTGGTAACACAGCATCGTTCCTCCTCTCTGACATATATATTGACTCGTGTACGAATCGCTTTTTTCTTTTTTTTCTTTTGTTTCCTACACGGAAAACTCGGATCACACGAAAAATTTCTATACAATTATTTTTTTTTTAAAATATACATTTGAAATAATTTTTTTTTTTTTTTAAACTTATTCCATACTTTAATTATCAAGTAAACATATTTGCATATTTGTAAATGTATTTTATCATAAATTTGAATTCTAGTAACTCGTGTGATAGCTAAAATATTAAAATAAAATTTATAAAAAAAATTCTTATAATAATTAATATTTATTATTATAAAAAAAAAGAAATGTCTTCTAAATTCAAATAAATTTCATGTTGACTCACAAGATTTTCCGTTTAAGTGACAAATCGACATTATAATTGTACACTTCAAAAATTATCCAGAAACAAAAAACGACAGAATATTTTTGAAACACACAATAAAAATTCACAGTACACACGTATAAAATATATATATATATATATATTATTATATAAGATAAACATCAATAAATTTCACTTCTGACCATTCTCTTTTATACTTGCTTTTGATTTATTTTACACTATTAATGCAAGTTGTCAATTATTTTATATATATAAAGACGTATAATCTAAAGATGTTGCTTCTGGTAACTCGAGACAATAATAATTAAGGCCTAATGATTTTTTTTTTTTTTTCATACACTTCACGCGCCTGGTAACTAAACCAAAAAAAAAAGAATATATATTATATATATATAGATATATATGAACAATCAAACAAACAATAACAATTTGGTCCCTATTTCTCGTGTGATCGCGCAATTAATAAAAAAAAAAAAAAAAAAAGAATCGCTGTTGAGAAAAAACGTTTTTTTTCTCAAAAATTCAGCGAGCGACTTATGGCTTGAATTCTATTATGCTAGTTGATGAAAATTATTCTAAAAAAAAGTCGATGTATTCGCTGCTTCAATAAACGAATATTGGCAACAATATCCCTGGTCGTTGGAAAAAAAGCAGTTTTTAGCTGCTCAAGCAACATTTTTATCCTCTAACGCGCGTTTATATATATATATTTTTTTTCTCAGTTCCATAATATTTATAGAAATTTTCCGAGTTTCTCACTGAGTATTGTTGGGTTTCCAATCTTCCTCTCTCTCTCTCTCTCTCTAGCATTATCTCCGATTTGTTTTTTTTCAGTTTCTCATTACTGAAAATTGTCTTACCAAGATAGGGGGCTTTTTTACTAAATTGAAAAATTCCATTATCTTATAAGTCGTTATTATCTCTTTCATATCAAGCAGTGATGTTATATTTTCTTTATCGTTGTTATTACATTGACGAATTTTTTCTTTCTTTTTTTTTTTTTTTGGTTCAATAAATTCTAATTTTTTTTTTTATTTTATATCGCTTGAAAATTTAAATTTAAGATCTCTATTAACTTAAGAAATTAAAGGAAGATTGAAAACACAGACGCGCTGTCGTTCGTTCACTCATTTTTTTTTTCAGCCGCAGAAAATTTAATCTCCTTTTCTCTTTCTTTCCCCCCCCAAAAAAAAAAAAAAATAGATTCGTTGATACCTCGCGTATAGTATACAATATGTATATATATATATTTTTTTATATAGGAATCTTTATGCTGCTATACAGAAATCTTCATCTCCTGACAAGGGAGAAGAAATGGTGCGGCCGTGTGTTCTCACTATAGCATGCAAACGACACCTCTTTTTTTTATAACGAGGTTCTATCACAGTTTCGCGTTTGAGGCCGACATTGAAGTTCGCTGTCTATATCGCTATTTTTTTTTTCTTTTTTATTATCGTATGCCTGACCATCGTCCTCGTCCTTGAGAGATACAAAAGCGACCAGTCAAGGCCATTTTAAAACACCCGCACCGAATTCTATCTTCATTATCGCTTAACACTTATCACACGTATCTCCATATCCGAGCACAGATTCTTCTTCTCTCTTTTAAAAAAAATAAAAAAAAAAAAAAAAGTCGCATTTATTTTGTCCTTCGTTTGTTTCTCGCCACAAATAATAATATTAATCTGTTTTGAGAAATATTTTCTGTCTTATCAAATAAATGATTATTCTTTCTCGTAACCTCTGCTTTTTTCGGGAGTTAACGAGATTTCTCGTTTTAAAATGTTTTTTTTTTGTATGTAGTATCGAAACGGCAACTACGATGGCATAAATGTATCGATGATGAGTGTTTGGAGCTCAGTCGAATCAGTCGAAATAGTGGTTTTTTTTTCTTGATTCGCAGGACCAATCAAATATCCTTTTTTTTTTTTTTTTAATCAATTCTCAGCATCCGGCTCTTGAGAGTGAATCGATATACTGATTGGGGCGAAACCCTTGCGAATTTGCTACGAAACTTTTCTTCCCCCCTCCCCCTCCCCAAGAGGAAGATGAAATTTATGGTATCCTACGTTCTAGATCCTCGTGCAACAAGTTGTTGTTATTCGTTTCGTGTATCGAGGCTGGTGATGCTTCTTCTGGCTGTTCGCCACCACTTAATTCCAATTGGCCCGTACTATCGCCACTATTGGAACCACATTCTCCGTCGACGAATCTGTTATAGAAAAAAAAACAATAACTTTAGAGAATGTCATATATAGAGATAATTGCAAAATGATTATGTAAACTAAATTAAAGGGAAAAAATTTTATACCTTTTTTTCTTAATAAGAAAAAATGTGAGAAAAAATTTTTTTATTTAATTTTTAATTATTTTACCGCGTTAAATTTATTTTTATTTAAAAAATAATTTGCTCTAATTTTTTTAAAAGTTATTTTCCTTCTTTTTGCAAGAATGAAATAATTGTGGTTATTATTTAATATCGTATAATAAAATGATGTAATAAAATAATTGTTTTTAAAATTATATTTTGTAAAGAAAAATTAAAACTGGTGGATTATTTTGTTAATTAATATTATAAAATATATTTAAATAATTAAAAATTTTAATTTTAGATTTCAAATTTATATATTCATACAAAAATTTGTTTTTATTTATTTTTATGTTTGTTATTTTTAATGAAGTAGTGTTTTTTTTCAAACAGAATACAATGCATTATTTTTAAAGTATAGTATTTATTTTTAAAGACAAAAGCTTTTGTTTAAAATTATATATAAAATATAAAAAAAAAATCAATGCATCATAATTTAAAAAATATTGCGCTCATTAAAAAAAAAGAGAATTTGTAATTTTATTAATACAATTTTTGTTATTAACAAATTATTACAAATCTGATAGTTTATTACACCCAGAGAAATGATTTATTTGAACCAAATAAAATATATTTGAGTTAAATAAACGTATATTTGTCTCAAAGCCTACTAACTTATTTATTTGGCGTAAATAAAAATTTTATTTGTCAGAAATAAATTTTTCTTTGGCTCAAATAAAGTTTTTATTTCAATGAAATAAAATATATTTACAACAAATAAATGAGTTAGTAGGCTCGGAGACAAATATACCATTTCTCTGAGTGTAGTAAGATTTTTATGATATAAAATTTATTTATTTTTTTTGAAAGTCATAAACAAAAATAATGTCACTATTTTTATACTATCGTTTTAGTAATGGTTTAAATAAAATTGCATAATTTTTTTCAAGCTTGAATAGAAGGAATAAATAAAATAATTTCTTTTTAAAAAAAAGTTACGCTATTAAAGAAAAAAGTAAGAATGTAGTTAATTGAATAGTTAATTGTTAATGCAAATAGAAAAAAAAAATTTCAAATTAAAATTTATCGCACTTATTTATATTTAATTATTTCATATTTAATTAGAGTCGTATGTTATTACATTGTATTTTACCATTAATTATTAAAAATTTTAATTTCTCTAATTTGAGATAATGAAACGACGCGACGTTGAGTCTTATAAAGTGATTTAGAACCAAGGAACCATAACGAATGTTACTGAGGCGACATTTTATCTTTTTAAGATGGCAACTTATCGTCGCACTTGCTTTTATCTTTATCATGCTTATGCACATGTACGAGAAGCGTGTAATGCATAAACATCAAAGACAGGCTCCCAGGATGTGAGACTTTTGCATAATATTATCCTTCCGAGATGTTGAGAAAGGTCAAGAATCGATATATACCATACATATACTCTTTCACCTCATCATTGGTTCAAGTAAATTCTCGTATATATAAAAGTTTTTATATTTTTTCCAATATAAGTTCTCTTCTCATATATATGTTTTTGAATTTTTTTTTTTTTTTTTTTTCACTATCATTTAAGATGCATTTTTAGTTTCAGACATTATATATTTAGAAAGCAGTTTATCTCACAGTTATTTTTTTCATTCCTTTTGTTATATTGTAATATTGTTTATATCGAGTTGACTTGAATTCGATTTTCGATTAATCTCTCTGTTTTTTTTTTACTGAGAAGATAACAAATCTCAACTAAAATCGTTGCGTGTGTTGAATTTTGCGCATCTAAATTTTCAATATAATATGACCGTGATAAACTGACTTATTGATTAATTGAGAAATAACCACGATATAGACCTTGTGTTCATATACAAATTTCTCTCTGTAATCTAAATATAATTATAATATCCATATCTAAATTTCTATTTTAATTAATAAACATTTTACAAATTTGCCATTTTTTATATTATAAAAAAAAAATAAATAAAATTATTTTTATTTTTTAATATTTAATAATATCTATATTGATAAAGAATGAATGTCACGTTCTGCATTTTTAAAAATTTAACATTTTCTTGAAACTCATTAATTTGAATTTTCAAATTCCTTTCTTTGATATATTAAATGCAACTTTATATAGAAATGAGTTATTGATAATGTTTGACGATCGCCGTGAAAATTCCACGATAAATTTCCCCCGACTATATATATATACGTATATTTGTTTACGACGCGTCTATCTAATAATTTTTAATTTACATCTTCCAAGAATTTTCTAAGCATCCTGCCTTGAAGAAAATGAAATCAGCGATTCTTGACCTTTCATACAATGTCTTTTTCATCAGGATAAAATTATGTGCAAAAAAAAGTCCTGTCAACACACTGATACATTTATATATACCATGATCATTCGTATTTGTTAATTGTATATAGTTGTGTGTGTAAGATAAAACACAATTTCAACAATATATATATATATATATATATATTGCATTAATAATTATTATGCCAATGTCAACATTAATTGCACCAATGTCAACGCAAATAATTGATTGATTCATTGCCGCACAGGTATATATATATGCCTTCTTTTATAAGTATGATCCGCATATATATGCATTTTATTGAAAACGTGCGATAACATATAGAAATGACCGTTCGCGAAACGGATATATCTGCGAAGTTCGCGACTCGTCGATAACATAAACACGCTCACCAAGAGCCATTTTAACATACAACTTTAAGTACTCAAATAAAATAGCCAGCAAAATTTATTACTTTGGAAATTATTTGCCTATTTGCATTAACAACTGTCCTTGACTTGAATTTTCAAAATATTATTCTTGTTTTTAATCCGAAAAGAAAAAAAGGCGTGAATGTATATATTCGTGTATACACAAAAAAAAAAGTAAGGAGCAAACTATTTGTGAGATAAAAATTATTAACTTTTGTTGTTACTTTTTTTGTGTATGCTTATATTATTGTCGCCTTTTTTTTTTTTTTTATCTTTTGTCTCCTTTTGAATTATGTAACGTTTTACACTTTACATATATATCTCTTTATAATGAATTCTATTCATAAAAGTCGTGTATATTTTTTTTTGTTTAATTTTATTATAATCAATTATTAATTATTATTGTTATTTATTTATATAATTATCTTTTTATTTATTGGTACATGTTTTGGAATTCATTTTTATTTTTGTTTATAGGAAATTTTTTTTTTTCCTTGTTAGTGAGAATTATTTATTTAAGATATATATTTTGATAAAGTTGTTTTAAAAATTACTTACGTGTATGGTTGTTCCTCTCCACGCATTTCACAAATGACGTTCGTCAATGCCATTATATAATTCTTGGCCAACGTTAGTGTTTCGATTTTACTGAGTTTCCTCTCCATTTTCACATGTGGTATCACTTCCCGCAGTTGCTGGAATTATGATAAATTTCACATTAGTACAATTTATTATTTTTCATAATTAACAATTTTTTTTAGCAGGGAATATTTATTTGAAAAGAAATTTTATTCGTAACAATTTTTATTTGTATACTTCTAAATGAGTATAAATATATAAATTTTGTTAATTATAGCAATAAAGTTATTTCACTATTGATTATATATTTGCTAATAATAATTCGATGACGAACTAACAGGAAATTCAGAAGCATATATTTCCTTCCCACCCCCCCCCCCCTAGAGTGAGGTGAAGTTATCAACTAATACGTATTTACCTCTCGCCAACGAAAGCAACATTGGCAAAGGATTCAGGGATAATTTCCTCAAAGTTGAATATCGTATAGCTTTAGCGCAACTTTGATAGGATATAATCTACATATACAGCAAAAGTCTTTGCATTTAAATCTCATTCACAAAGTGATAGAATTTCAGAAATTTCTTTTACAAAATTCATTTGTTTATCCGTATTTGTTTAAAAAGAAAAAATTTCCTCGATTTGTAATTACTATATCTGAACCTAAAAGCAGAGAAGTTATATATAATAATTATTTAGTTCATTACGTGAGCATATTTTTTAAAATTTACTTTCGAAATTATAAGGTTTTTCTTTTTCAAAAAAAAATGAATTTTGAGTTTGTTTATCTATTTAATTTGTTGGTTTTAATAGAGAATATATTACACAATATTTACCAGGTACGTTCAATACAGTATAGATAAGGAAAACGTTTGTCAAGCAACTGGTTTCAATTGACGTAAGCATTACTTATTGTTCGAATGTGGCATATATAGTAAGAATAAAACATATACACTTTTAAAACATAAACATAATGATTTTTAACTAGTTATATATATATATTAAAGTAAACCATAAAACAATTTCGATTTTCTTTATTTTTTTTTTTTTTTTGTAAAAAGATATAAATGGAAAAATAATATCAATTTCATAAAAGTTAAGTGGTTTCCACTTCAACCCAACGAAGTTTCTTTTATAATCTATTAAAATTTTATTTCTTATCAGATTTTCAAGAATCAATTATATAGTTTCAGAAAATATTTGTTTCATTTTTTTCAAAATCAACTCCATCTTTTTCTATATATATTTTTCATTTTTCCATTATATAGTGGAAAATGTGAGGGAATAAAATTTTGAAAAAGCTTCTTGTAAGAAATAATCTAGAAGAGTGTGCTATTTTTGAAATTCAAGTAAAATATGTATAACATGGGTCATAGAAAAGTGATAAAATTAGAGTGAGCGCGGTGTGCGTAGAAAAATAAAAATAATCGTGTGTATAAAATTGTATTATTTTTTTTTTTTTTGCAAAATAAAATCTCTATCAAGTTATTTTTAAATCTATGCTCGAAACGACAGTAATAGTGTATATTAAAAAATTTATTCGTCGCGTCTGTTTTATCTACTATATAAATTCTTTGAATATATCTGAATTAATATTTTACTATTTTTCAACCTTTATATTAAATTTCGAAACAAAAAAAAAAAAATTAATCTTATTTTCTATCAAATGATTTTAATTTGAATTTTTTTTTTTGATTTTCGATTGTATACTGCAAGTATATATAAGAAGCTGTCAAAGCTTTTAATAAACGTCTGTTTTCTTCCGCGTTGAAATGAGTATTCTTCTAAAAGATGTTTGCATTTAGTTTAAAACCTGTCTGCAATGTATAGTGATTAATATCTCGTTAAATGTCGACTCGTGCTATGAAGAGCTCCCCCTTTTTGTTTAGACTCGCGTTTAACTCGCAGGCGTTTTATGAAAGTGATTACAAACCACTTCACTTCAAGAATCATGTTATCGATATTTTCATAAATGTCAAATCGATTCACTTCTATTGCGGTTCATGACAGATGCCAACATATACAAACACGAGTTACTTTTGCAAAATACTATCGACAAATCGATGCTAATGATTATATATATACATGATTTTTAACGAGAAAAAAAATTGCTCAAAACATCACTCTCGCGTTTACGCGAAATTCCTTATTTTAATCACAATCTACATTGAGCTATCAAAAATAAACACGTTCCAAGTCGTTAATTATTTTCTCTCTAGTCAAGGGGAAAAAAAAAATAATTACAAATTTTTATTTTTTTTCTATAAAATTTTTTCCATTTAAAAAAACATATGTATCTCTTTGTTTTGTATAGGAAGAAATTTTTTTATCGAAAATTAAAAATTATATACCTCGAAAGCGTCATTTAGGGAATGCATTCTCATTCTTTCTCTCTCGTTGCTTTCCAGCCTTCGAAGATTTCTCTCCCTCGCGGAAATCCCACTTTTTCTTCTTCTCGTCGTGGGTGGACCACCCCGATTTCGTCTCTTCGCTTGCTTTGGGCTTCTCTCGCTACCACTACTGTCACTCTCCTCGCCCACCTTTGATAAAAAACAAAATTAGATGTCAGTAATCGACGTTCAACGAAGATAAAATCTATTTATATATTACCGCAAGAATTTCTCCAATACCTTGAAACAATTTATTTTCATCTATTATTATATTTATTTTGCCATTTATAATCTTGTTTTTAAGTTACATTTTATTTTTTCCCTATATAGAAAAACAATAAGATTTTTTTTTTCCAATTAAAAATTTTATTGAAAGAAAAAAAAAGGTTCATTACAATTTTCCAAAATTAATTCGATTGCAATTAAATTTTATCATATAAAATTCAACTAAATATAAAAATATTAAATTAAAATTCTCGTAAATGAAAAGTTTAAATTTGAATTTTTTTAAAAAATTAATTTATTAAAAGAAATCTTTTTTAATTGCCTATTTTTTTTTCTACTGCAAAATAATTAATCACTCTCATTAGCAAAACTGAAGGTTGTTTTTAACTTTGAATGAGTTTTCATGGATATTTACTTAACGATATATACCATGATTAATAATAATGGAAATTTTTTGAATAAATGTATATTCTCATCTTCGTTTTATTAGCATACGAAAGAAACTGGTTTTTAATAGTTATTCCTTGAGAAGAAGAAGAAGAAGAAAAAAAAAGTATAATAATGAGCGAAAAATTTTTTGATTTCTTTTGAATATAGTGAACTGGTTTTTTAGTGATAGAAAATTAAATTTTTATATACATTCCAAGCTTCATTCAAATTTTATTTTAATTATTAACGTAAATAAAAAAAAAAGTTTATATAATATTAAATATTTTTTATTTATATAATTATATAAAATATGTAGTTGGAAATATAAGATAAAGTGCAATAGGAGAAAGAGTCTCGAAAAAGGTTCAATATCCCTAAGGTGTCCCAAGGACGCGTCTAGTGTGTTTCTTTACTATTAAATATCCACAGGACGCCTCGTAGAGTTCTGTTGAGTTACGTGGGCGTTATAATAGAAAATAAGAAAAGTAGAAAAAAAAAGAAAAAAAAGGTTGAAAATAATAACCTCTGTTCCGACGACATGATGGCGTCCGCGTTTCCCGGTTAGAGAATCCACGGAGGCGTCGTCTAGGTCGATATACATCTCCTGATCACCGCAGTCCTGATCGCTGCCTGATAACCTTTCCAAGTTTCGCATTATTCTGTAATAAAAAAAAAAAATTATTATTACGTTACACATATTTTTTTTTATTTTCCAAAATTAGTATATTACGACTATAAATGATGAAAATTTGAACAATATTTTTTTTTTTTTTTTTTTGCTAACATTGTTGTTTAATTTTCCTTATATTTAATAAATGTGAATTTATTCATAAATAGAAAATATTTATCTGTAACATAAAAAAACCATTGCTGAATATATTTCTCTAAAGCAGAGAAAGTAATAGATATTTTATTGAATTAAGTCGTGAATCTCTTTTGCGTGAACGTAATTTTCAATGATTGTAAAATTTCATTTAAACAAGTAAATAAAAGGGACTGAAATACAATTTCCCATGAGGTTATATGTATAGTTATATATATATATGTGTGTGTGTATCTCTCAACTTTAACCCATTTAAACAAGTCTTTTTGTTTCAAAAAAGAATTCCTTCTCTTTCTTTGTATGACCTTATAAGATTTTTTCTCTAAATTAATTATTCTTTTATTAAATATCTGCAAAAAAGTTATGTAATTTAGGGGATTTCCTCTCATTGCAATCTCGTGTGAATCTATAAATAAATGTTCCGATTTCTATTTTTTTCTTCTCTATATATATGTATAATTACACTGATAAAAAGTTGATAACATTTCTTCTCTCTTTCCGCGTTTTTTTTTTTTTTTTTTCTTTTTTTAATTCATATTGTTCTGCCGGAATGAGAAATTTCCAAGTTTTTGGAATTTCGCGATTCACGTATAGAGAGAGAAAAAAAAAATTCATTACAAAATAATTAAAAAAAATAAAAGAAAACAAATATATTATATTTTTATATAAATGTTGATAATTTAATATCGTGGAGTAGAAAATATTATGGTTAATAAAAATAGAGAAAATTTCTAATTGCGTAATATTAACAATTATAGGAATAAAAAATTATTTCATTAAAGTGTACAAGTAAAGATAATAAATATGAAAAATTGTTTCTCTTTATTCTGTGAGGAAAATAATTTAATACATATTTCTGAAAATTGAAATAATTATTTTTTTTTTTTTTTTTTTGTAATTATATATAGTGGGGAAAAATTCTGTTGAAGTTATTTAGAATTTAGTTTTTTTCAGAAAGAGGGATAATAATAGGAAAATGCTTTTATCATAAGGCAATATAGGTTTTTCTTGTTTTCACAACGGGAGATCAAAAATTGAGGGGAACTCCCCCGAATCGTATATATGAGTGTGAATGCGTCAAGTTTTATTTCTTCAGACGTCTCAGCAGGAGTAAACAACACTGGCGTCACTTGCGCTTGTAACATATATATACATATATAATACACACACACATATATATATATATTTTCGCGTACATAGAGGAATTACGAGCGTTATATACCCACACAGAAAGTTTCTAATGTATATAACCATTAACGGGGGATATCCCGTTCTCGCCTCGAGGCCGAGTCAATGCCAAGAATTCGTTGACACTCAGTCACGTGACATCCGTGACCACGTGGATAATCTATACACAGGTGCGTTACGCATCCGCTATATGGAATCTTTTTATAATATGTAAATGGAAACAGTAACGCTCGGCTTATTTTACACTTTTTAGATGCTCGTTATTTTTTTTTTCTTTCTACTTTTACTGACATATAGACACAAATTAATACACGCTTGTTATAAATACATGTATATATATGTGCTCCGGAAAAGGGACAAGAACTTGCTTGGAATAATTGTTGCAATTATTCTTATTATTATTATTATCATTGAGGTAACACTTTGCTTTATGTGCGGTCACACTGTTAATTTAATGTTGAATCAAAACAAGTTGTTACTAATGAAATGAAAAAAAAAAAAAAAAAAAATTAATGTGAAAAACAAAAATTATGTAATTTTTAGGAAAAATAATTTATTTTGAATGAATTTTTCCAAATTATATAAAAATTTGTTAATTTTTTTACATGGGATGAGAAATTTTTCTTGAGAAATAAATAATTATAGGTAATTAATCAATTATCATTGACAAAACAGTCTCGGTAAATAAAAAAAAAAATGGTAAATTAATTTAATCGGAATCTTAATTTTTATTTATCTTTTTTTTTTGACGTTTTGAATTTTTATTGTATAGTAATTTTGAATATTAACATTATCTACAAAGTTTCGAGAATGAAAAAAAAGTCTCCAAGGTTTTATTTCGGTTCAACAATGTAGAGTTACACAGCTGTAAAATTACATTCTTTGATATGTTTTAATTAAAAGTTCATTTTTATCTCATGAGGCGTTTTATACTGACATATAAATATCATGTGTATTCGATACATATATATATAAAATAGTTTCAATGCTTTTCTCGAGTTCCGTTATCTTTTAGATTTTATTAATTATAACGAGTCATGTATTTATTACTGTTATACTTAAAAAAAATATATCCCATTCCAGTTTAGAAGATATATTCATAATTCCGGTTTTAAACCTTTTTTTTTCCTTCTTAGTATAATCTCTTTTTTTTTTTTGACAATAAAATTAGTCGTTTAACGTATATATATAGTCAACTAATATGGGACATCATTAAAGATGTTTTATCCATAATAAATCAGTGATAATAGTCTATTTTTAACTTTAAAACATTTATTCATATATAAACAATCTTGAAATAAAATGAACAAATAAAGAAACTAATATAAAAAAATGAAATAATTTTAATAAATAAAAGTTTAATAAATAAAAATTTTATAAATAAAAATTTAATAAAAAATAGTAATCGGAGTAATAATTAAAAGAGGAATTTATAATAAAGAAAATTTCTCTATAAATAATAATAAAAAAAAAAAAAATTATACAGATTCTTATCAAATAGAACTTTTACTTTTTTTTTTATATGCGCTTGCTTAGTCTCTTTCGTTTTTCCTCTTTAATAATCTCGTAATTTTTTATTATCTGCTTTACAGATTCCTTGACTCTAAAAAGGAGGAAAAAAAATGTATATATATATATATATGTTTTTTTTTATCTTTACTGATAAGTAACAATTGAAGTATAAAATGCTTAAATAATGTATTTTTGATATATAGGACATATACAATATTTCGCACACATTTATACATTGAAATGAAAGTTTTTATATACAATACATATTCAATATATAATCAATTTATTAAATACTCTCTTGACAGACGTATGAGGAAAATATTTTCTCGTGCGGAAAACGTGGGAACAAGAATCGAGATAAAAACACATTTGCAATAAAAAATTGCACATCAGAAAATGCAAACATTGATGATCCATTTACCAGAGATACAACATATATATATATATACATGTAAACATTTCGAACAAAGGAAATACTTCCTTTTTTATTCACAATTACAATTCTAATTTATGTCAGTATAATTACTTTTATTATCATTATGCTTGTTGAGGTCGGCAATTTTATATATTACATATATGATAACTTTGGATCAAAAACATATACATACTAAATTTATAGATAATTCTTGATTTTTTTAATAATTATTTTCCAATATAATAATTTTTATATAGGAATCAGCATTCCATTTGATTTTATTATATATATTCGACATTAGTTTTCGAATGACAGTGACAGACTCTAATTACTTGCATTCATAAAGGAGCACGTGATTCTCGACAGTATATAACGGACACATATACACATTCAAGGGTTTATTAATAATATCGCACTGACACGCGTGTCACGTGTAACTATCGTAATACCACGTATAGGCGTTTGTACCGTTAGACTACAGTCTACAGGTATCTAATTTCCATGGCAAGCCAAATCCGCTCATTAAACGAAAATATTCATCACTCTATACACGCGGGAAAATATATCTATCAACCAATCGCGTTTATATATTATATATATATATACACCTCTCCTGTGTAAAATACACTCTGCCAAGAGAAAATCTTTTAACGTGAAAACCTGATAAGTAAGGCAAGATTAAATTTAGCATACATTTACAACTGAATGGGATTCGTGACCTTTCTATAAAGAACATTTCTTCTTACTTAGAAGATATGAAAATACTCACTTTTTTTTTTTTTAAAATGAACGAGGAAAATTAATTATTATAAAATGATAAGGAACATTACGTAATTATTCAGAGGGGAGTTTCCCATTTATATTATTGTATACTTTTGAATATAAAAAGAAATATTCTTTTTTTGTAAATGTATATCCAAAGTTGAATTTTTATAAAATTTTTATTCAACAGAATTTTTCTACTATATTTTTTTAGTTTCAATATATATTTTTTTTATTAATCTGAATTTTGATTATTTCTTAATTTGTAATTTAAACTTTTATACAATTAATTAATCTAACCCATGTGGAAAAAGTAAATAAAATTTATATTGCAAATTGAGTATATATTTTTTATATATAAATTATATTTAAATTATATTTAATTTTTTTCCATGAACAAAAATTAAATATAATTTTTACATAATTTAAATATAAAAAATATATACTCAATTTAAAATATAAATTATATTTACTTTTTTCACATGGGAATTTTAAAAAATTTAACCGAATTCGAACAATTTATGCAACGGAAATTAATAAAGTATTTTTTTTTTCAACTTAAAAATAAAGTCCTCGATATAGGGATGCATTTCATCTTCTATTTCAAACCCACATATTATCATCGCATGTTTTTATCTTCTTCGAAGAAACGAATATAATAATTCGCTAATAACTCTCTGCATATTGTGCATATTTGTCCCTCTTTATTATCAACATTTGTGGTCTTTCTGCTTAAAACGCGGAGAAAGTAATTTTCTTCTCAGGAAATTACGACTTTTTGCCTCTTTTACGTTTTTATTACAATAATGAAGTATAAATTCTATATATATATAAAATGCATATTATAAATTGCTCTAAATTTAATAATAATTTAAAAAATGAAATTTTCAAATTTTCATTAATTTATTTTATTCGTTTATAATAATATTTTTATAAACGATATTGTTCTCGAATAAAAAAAACAAAGAATATTCTTATTCACCTTTTAAATATTTTTTTAATATATAAATTGCATAATAATGTGTTGACTGTTTCACAATCAGACTTGTAATACATTTTATGTTTTTTTATATATTTTTCTTCACTTATGAATTGAGTACATTATTTTGACTCATACCGTTTGCTGTTTCAGCAAAAAAAAAAAAAAAAAAAAAAAAGTAGACCGCAAAAATTATTTATGAGTTCATCGAATCGATTTAAAATATTTAAATAAAATGATAAAAGGTAAAATACATCACTGTTACCACTTGTCAATTATAAAATCAGCCAGGAGAAAGTATAACTCGCGTATTAATTATACTCTCAGAAAAAAATTCGTTTGAAGCAACCAAATTTTGGTTAAATCAACAAAATAAATACATTGATATATACAGTTAACCAAACATTTGGTTGCATAAACCAAACGTTTATTTAGTTCAATCAAATTTTTTCTTTGTTCAAAAAATTTATTAAAATAAACATTTAGATCAAATAAATATTTAGTTGAATTAAACAAATTTTGTTTGAACTAACCAAAAAATTGGATAAATATAAAAAAATGGTACATATCTTTTTTCTGAGTGTAAATTACATATCTTTTTGATGCAGGGGGGAGGTCATTTTTTTTCCATCAAAGAAGTGGTAATTTACCAAATAAATCAAAGAATATATTAGGAATTTTTATGTGTATACATATAATCAATCACATATATTGAAGCAAATCAATGAAAATTAATTCCTCATTGATTAATTATTCTCGTCGTGAGTAATTAAACTTGTGTTGTTCCATTCACACTTGAATAAATCACGCGCAATAATTAACATTTTTTGTCAGCTTTGTTTTCAAGAAGGTATATATATAAAAAAAACTTATCTATAATGAAATTCTTTATATATACAAAGAAATGGAAAACGATCATTTACTGTTTAAATGGAAGCATAAAAAGGAAGAATTCCTATGGAGGCCTTAAGTGTAATTAGAATTTAATAGCAAGTGAAGTGAAAGCTCATGGTTAATAGGAAAATGTATTTCAGAAATTCCCATTAGAGCATTTATGGTGCAGCGAAACTAGATGTCGTATCCTAAATAAATTACCAGAGGCGTTGAATTGCAGTTAAAATTTACTTTTAGATATACACTTTTTTGCATTTTATTTATATATATAAATTAAAATGTAATTTTCTTTTTCAAATATATATAAAACGGAAATGGCCTATGTACATAAAGAGTTTTTTTTTTATGGGAAATGAGAGTATAATTTTGCATCCAATCAGAAGACACTGGACGGGAAGAAATTACGTTCTCTATATGTAGATGTTGCATTAAACATAAAATAACTCGAGGTCACGGGAGTGTCTATACAGGCACGGTTAATACACCGTCTAACCATTACGGAGCTTACTTTTTCGCAATCTCTTCATTCTCCATTTACCACCGTGAAAATCGACTCGCGATCTTTGAAATATATAAATATATATATATATATATGTATATCAAACTTAACATACGAGATTTAAAAAAAAATCTGCGTTATCTCACGACCGCGATTTACTGCCATTAACCTCTTAACGTTGAAAACAACCTCAAGAATCATGCGAACTCTCCGTCAAATACAATTAAAAAAAAAGGGTACTTTCCTCCTCGTAAAATACAATTTTTTTTTCTCGTACATATTTTTTATAATGTTTTGCTGTTAATTATATTGCTGCATTCAATATAATTTCGTTAATGTTGTCTCGTATATTAAAAAGAAAGTCTGCTTGACAACTTTTATAACATTTATATATAGATTTTGATATATTTTATTTATCCATAATTTTGGGTTCTTTTTTCGAGCATTATTTTATTTTTTGCATTTTATTTTTATATATGCAGGAACCACTGCAATGATACAATAATGGTTTAATAAAATAAAAAAAACGAATTTTGCAATAAAAGAAGAAAATTGTGAAATCTTCATATAACTTTGTAGGAAAAAATAAGTTTTTAGGAAATTTAATATTCACTTAAACATTAGCATAATTTGCTTTTGTCTTAGCGTGGTATCATAAATATGTATTTTAAATGACGTAAAGTTGTTTGGATAACAATTTTTTAACAAAGTATATATACAAGCTGGTGATAAAAATTTATCCTCAGTTGTTTCTATATAGTGTTAATATACAAATTTTTGTATTAAATTTCAATTGTGACAGTATTTTTTTTTTTATTTAAAAAAGCCTTGAAGGTAAACTCATTTTTTTTATGTTTTCTTTACAATTCATTATTTTCTATAAGAAATTAAATTAAAATTTTTATTGACAAAAATTATTTGTATAAATAAAAATGTTTTCCTGATTATAAAGAAATGTAAAAAAAAAATACTGTAAACAAATTAGAAATATAGATTTAAAAATTATTTCCATTACCTTAAAATGTGTCTGAAGTTGTCTGTGAATTGTGTATGAACCGTTGCACGTTTAATTAGCTTGGCAAGTCATCCATCGAAAGATTTTCTATCTCAAAAGATTAAAAAAAAAAAAAAAATATGTTCTAATTTCCTCGTTCAATGATCTGTCCTCGTCCTCGATAAGGTCAGATGCTTCTCTAAGATCGCGATTATATCTTGTGTGACATATAACAGGAAGTTCCGATGCAAATATCACTATACTGTATACGCACTTGATTTCTTTAACAGTTCTTTTTATAACACAGTCTTTTTGAAACACACAGTTCTTATATTTAATTATTTTTACATTCACCAAAAACTTATTATTAATATCCAAAATATTATATATATATACATATATATATAATAGTTCGAAAATTATTTTAAAACACGCATTATCCTTTTAATCCGATGTACTGTCTGTCGACGTCTTAATGATGAGATTGGCTGCATTTCCACTATGATTTCCCAATTCTAAAACAAACAAAAAATAAACATTCAATTTAAATTTTGTGAAAGTCAAAAAAATTTTTTATTGTCAATATAAAAAAAAAAAAAAAGAAATATCCTAAAGAAGCATAAAATAATTATCTCATGATTTTAACACCCATTCGCGAGTGCAAGGTTCATGTACGATTATATATAGTTTTATCAGTGAACGAGTGCGAAATTTCGATTATATAGGTACTTTGTATTATTTAAATATAAATCTGCATTAACATTTGAATTTGATCCACTCTTGCTTGTTGGTTTGATAAATCAAAATCAAAAAAGGCAACAAAACATTTTCAAGGATTTTGAAAATTTTTTTGATTAATATTATATATAATTTATTCGAATCGAATTTAACGATTATTATGTTTTTTTTAATGTTGCTGAATTGTTTGTACAAAAAAGAAGAAAAATTCATTTAGAAAAATGAATTGAAATTAAAGTGAAAAGTTGGTTTAAGAAACAAAACTTTGTATTCTTAATTAATGAGTATATGGCAGTCTCGATATGAATTCATGAATGAAAAGAGATTCTCATGTATGAATCGCGGGAATCAACAGTCTCTGATTGCAGACAACTCGGCTGTGAATCCGCCTCGAGAGAAAATTAAAGTTCCCAGAAAAAAAAAAGTTTATAGGAATCAGGAAATTAGTAGGTTTGAATTGCGAAAATCTTTTCAAATGATTTATATATATAGTGGCTATTGCTATATATATATATATATATATATATATATATATATATATATATATATATTTGAATATTTCCATAATGTGTGATATTGTATATATTTTTTACGTAATTCATTACAATTATAGTATTCAAATAAAATAAATATTGACATTTTTGTTTCAGACGCTGATGAATAATCAAATAGACGCAAAGGCAAATCAACGTCAATTGTAAGTTATACATAAAAATTAATTTTCGTAGGTTTAGAAAAGACAAAAATTAAAAAAAAAAAATTTGTTTTAAATATTACTTGAGGTGAAAAAAATGTTGATTGAATTATAACCAAGAAATTTAATTGAAGATAACTTAAAGAATTTTATTAGATCGATCAAAAATAATATATTTAATATATAATCAAATTTTTTCTTATGAAAAAAAAAAATTTCTTTTACTTAAAAAAAAATGTTTTCGTTTTTCAAGTGTTATATATAGTTACATTTTTTTCACTGTTTAACCTTTTTTTCCATTCATTAAATAATTATGCTTCTTTATTGTTGTCTGCTAAGAAAAGTGAATTTTAATTATTATTTAATGAGTAATTCGTCATGAATAGAAAATTTAATTCTCAAAATAATCTATATAGAACCACGGATAAATTTTCTTTAACAAATGTTTATCAATATGTGATGAGAAATTTATTGATGGCGATTTTGATAAGAGAGAGAGAGAGAGAGAGAGAGAGAGAGAGAGAGAGAGAGAGAGAGAGAGAGAGAAATAAGTGACCAATTAATAGTAGATATTATATCAGTAAATAAGAGAAAGGACTAGATTTGTTTTACAATTTTATGATTTGTTAACAAGTATAGCATATAATGAAGATCAGGTTGAGTGATTGTATAGATATAGGATTTGCCTTAAAGTGACACTCACTGTCGTATAAATAAATCATTTAATGATCCTAGAACGACAAGTGCGTTGTTGACTTTTTTCTTAATTCACTTTATAATAAAATAATTATTAATTCGTTGAAAAGTGAAAGCAGTTTTAAATAATGAAAAAAATATACAAAAAAATGATATTATTTTATTGGAATTTTTATAAATTACACTTAAAAACAAACTTTCGTACTTTGCTTTTATTGTTTTTTTTTAATTATGGTTTTTATCGCACATTAATTATATGAAAACTGATAATAAAATTACAAATTTATTATTATTTTTTTTTTTTTTTTGATGAAAGAAACAAGTGAACTTCATGGTCAGCGAGTGTAGGATAAGCTTTTGCAAAAATTGCATAACTGATAATAGGAAGTTTTGTTTGATCGTAGCTGTTTATTTAATTCTTTTGCTTGTCTGTCACATTGGGAATTTTTTTTTCTTCCTTGAAACAATATTTCAGTAGATTTTTTTTTTATATTGTTGGTTGCTTTTCTAAATTATTTAAATAATCTATAAAAGTTGTTGTTTTTTATTTTTTAATTATACAAAAGTTACGAAAATAATTTGTAATGATAAATAACTTTTTTTGATAAAAATTGTACTTCGTTCGAATCGTATCTTCAAAATAAAGAGTTTGTTGTCTCTAAATATCAATAATGACATTTCGGATTTTTTTTAAGAATGATAAGTATTCTTTTGTATATATATATAGGATTCTAAATTTATTCAAATATTTATTGAGATTAATTAGAAAAAAAATTATTCATATTATTTGTTTTCATCTTTCTAATTGTTTTAATAATTATTGTGTGTCACGCAAGGTCTTGTAATTGAAAAAAAAAATTTATACTTTTTTTTTATCAGTTTTTAGTTAAATTAAAAAAATGTGTGTGACAATCTTCTCGGAATAATAACTATATAGAAACGCAATTTATTTCGTGTATTTTCGATTAAAAAACTTTACCGGGGGAAAGAACGATAAAAATTGTCCTTTTTATCTCTTCTTTTTTTTTTCGTTGTATTATTCGCAAGGGTACATTTTCTCCAAATCATGCAATTTATTTCACTCAAGGAAAAAAAAAATCAATAGTCCAGGAAACTTATTTCAATTTCGGACCACTATAAATCAGAGGATTTCATTTCAAAATATCTCCCCTTGAAAAGATTAGGATTTACATAATGAATGGCCTTGTTAAAAATTATAGATCCAAATTATTGAGTTTAGTTGAAAATTGATGAATTGTTTATATAGGAAGATTGTTACATGATTGCTCTGCTTCAATCTCAAGCTGCTCTAAAACACTGTTATTTTCTCTAATCCGTCTTATAAGACTCGCAGGAAATCAGATGTTTTACTTGGAAAATATCCGTCACGTTAAAAAAAAAAAAAAAAATTAAAATTCATACTGTTCCGAATATAATGAAATATAGAAAATAATTTTAAAAAAAATAATTTTTTTTTAAAAATAATTATTCCTTTTTTTTAATTCGATACTCCGTTTAGAGAAGAAATAATTCTAAATTTATATTAAAATATAATATTGATAATAATAATTGCCCTTTCGTGTCAGGTTTACTTTACTATATATAATAATATAGAAGCAATTCGTTTTTCTGTTATAAGGGGAAAATGTTGAGGAAGATTCGAGGTAGCATTTTGATCGCGGCGCGTCGTTTTTAGCACGGCCGAGTGAATACATTAATTCTAGCCGTGAGGTTAGTTATTTGCTCGGAGAAAGTGACTGTGTGCGAGAAATTTGTAATCCGGGTTCTCTGACAATGGCTGATCGAAGCGAGTACAACATATGGGATTAAAATACCGTGAGTGGAATGTCGAATCATTTTATATTGAAGAGGAAAAGACAAAATCAATAATTTAAAACGAAAAATTAAAAAAAAAAAAAAAAAAAAAAACACATTTGTTTGATTTAAAATTTTTACTCAAAAAGAATTGATACACGGGGGTCACTAAACTGTTTAACGCCACAAGATTGCGATGGGGATTCTCAGGATCACCGGGGAATCCCACTAGCAATCTTGGCATAAATATATCGTGCAACCAGTTTTACGGTTGTGGAAAAAAAATAATTATCTTCATTTTTTTATCTACACAAAATAAAATTTATATGTATAGAAATAATTTAGACAAAACAAGAAAATTTATCTCTCCTTTCAAATATAGAAAAAATACTTTTGTTATTTACCTTAAAATATGACACATATGTTACTAATAACAATAATAATTCTTTAACATAAAATTCAATTGAATTTTCTTTGAATTTAAATAAGTCTATCATAATTTAAACTGGTTTCTTAAATTCAGTGAATTTTTTTTTTTTGTTGAAATTCTGATACTTCTGTAATAACTAAATTAGAAAAAGAAAAAATAGCTTAATATAAGACACAAAGTTTGGTTTTAATTGAAAAAAAAATATGAAAAACTTTTACTGTCATTGAAATATTTAATTCTTAACTATATTGAATAATAAATTAACTGAATTTCAGAAACAAATATTTCTTAAATTAAGATTTAGTTTTTGAATTTAAGATATACTTTCAATTAAACTACAAAAATATTTTCCTGCAATTCGAATATTTATATGTTCAATCTGTATTTTAATAATCTAATAGAATTTATATAAAAAAAGCTCACCTTTTTAAATTTAAGGTATACTGTCATTTAAATTACGAAATACTTTTGTTGAAATTCATTAAATTTTAAGCACTTTGGATTTGAATAAATTAATTGAATTACGACAAAATTGCCACTATTTTGCTCTTTTAAACTAAATCAGTGAAATTTTACTGATATCATTTCATTTTTGTGATTAACTTATCACTATATTTCAATCATTGATTGAAAATCAGTAATATTTGACTGATTCTGAATGAAAATCACTGATTTCAATTAAAGTTCGCAATTGTCAGTTTTTAAACTATTACTGTCACTTAAATTAAGAAATACTTTTTCTAAAATTCAGATAATTTTTTTTTCAAATTTATAATAAAAAAAAATTTTAAGTATTTTTTCTTAATGTATATTCATAATGTCACGAACAATAATATTTCAAACTTATTCTGAGAATGGAGTGAAATTAAAAATGGTATTTTTTAAAATGACGTCTTGGGGATTTTTTTTTTTTTTTTGTAATATCTCAGTTAGCTGTGAAAGTGAAATGAAATTGAAAATTTGTGTTATTTTTTTTTGGAACTAACGTCATGGGTTTTTCAATAATAAAGATTCGCTTCCGTGAATTGAAAATTAATGCTAATAGAAAGATCGGCTTATAAGAATTCTTAAGTAAGTTTATTCAAATTGAATGAATTTAATTTCGAGGATAATCAAGAGAGGAATAAAATGATTAATAATAATCATTGCAATTTGCTTTTCACTTGAAGGACAAAAAGCAAAGAGTAATTATTTCCCTTCTTTGAGAAAAGTGGCAGGTTTCCTACATATATATATACAACTTGTTGCCAACGGAGCACATCTTGTTTTCTTCCACAAACTACTACATGTTTCTTAATTATAGACTAACATTTTTATAGTACCGTTTCAAGTTCAGAAAATGAATTTTGCTTTCACATTATTTCTATAGACTCTATTTACGTTTCTCTTCCTTATAAATAAGAAACTTGATGTTTTACAACTACTTTATAGATCCCAAGCATTTTTTTTTTCATTTATTTTGTTGTTTTTTTACGAATTTTATTGATCGTGTGTAATTTCAAACGTACCGTTAATTTGTCAGCTTCCACACGCAAAAAAAATTATTATTATTATTATTATTTATCACGTAATTTATTGATGAGATGATTAAAACACATTCCTTTAGTTTTTTTTTTTTCAGTGAAATATTGAAAAAATAAATTTAAAAAAAAAATCCCGTAACTAAGACACTTTTAACACAAAAATTAAACGCGACGTGATTGTCACTGGTTTAATGGATCAATGTGCTCCGAGCAAAGACGAACGGGTCTCAGCTGACCGAGCGCCCGATACGGACTGACTATAACTGTAAACGACTACTTGTTGCGGGTATTCCCCTGCTATCCCCTCGAACCACTCCACCATCACCCACTAGGTTTGACTCCCCACCAATATACATATATATATATATATATATACAGTATACACTCGTTTCGTGTATAACTCCCTTCAAACCAGTTCCATTGCCACCTCCGGGTCCACCTGTGTTTTCCCTAATGCATTCCTGATTTGGTTCCACCTGTACCACTTGGCGAGTTTCGTCCCCCAAAAAGAGCTTTAACTTTTGTGTGAGAGAGTATCGTTTTTTTTTTCTTTTTTAAAAAAAAAAAACCTTCCAAACTCCTCGCAGTGTAACAGGTTGAGTGCATTTTTTTTTTTTTTTCCCCTCGCTGGCTGGAAACAACAGAGGAATCTAGGGAATGTGGGGAGGTCATGTCCTAGATATATACATGGAAAAGGATTTTTAATGTTTTATGAGGTTTCAGAGACTCGGTTTCAAAGAGAAGTCTAGTCGGATTTTTTTTTTAATTGAGATAATTAACTTCAAACACAGAGTCGTGTTAGAAAAAAAAAAAATTGTACAAAGGAAATAATTTTTTTTTTCTTTTTTGTTCAAGTACTAAATTGTAAATTTTTCACCAAGTGCGGAAAAGGGTCCTTTTTCCATAATGTTTGAATCAAATGATTTTTTTCATACGAGGGCTAAAAAGAATCAATTTCGGTACAGGCTTTGTATTTTTTTTTTAATTTATTATACTTTTTTTTTGCATCATGTTCAAAATTAATGTAGAAAAAATCTAATTTACTTGATTTTGAAGTATAATTTTTTCTTTTATATTTAAATAAGTGATTTTCAGAGAGCAATTTTTAATTGAATTTTCCATTAAAAATTAAATTCCATTAAAATTAAAAAAATTGAAAACAAATGACATAATGAAAATTAAAAAATACCAAATTATAAATTGTCTTAAATTGTGAAAAAGTATCCCACTTTATTTTAAACAATTTTTTTTATTTAGAGGATATTTCTGTTTCAAAAAAAAAAAAAAAACAATAAAAATTAACTATAGAGAAATTTTGAAAAAAAAAATTATAATCGTTTAATAATTGACGGTATTTAAAAATTAATAATAATTAAATTTTTAAATAATAAAATAAGAAAAAAAAATATGCAAAAAGTCTATTGTAAAGAAAAACGTTGTTAAACAACTTCGTGTCTTTCAAAATACCTCCACTATCGTGCTAAAATAATAAAGTTTTATTTTTTCTAAACGAAAATTTATATTATTCCTTTTCAGTTAATTTTACTGTATTTTTTTTTTGTTATTCTTACACGATTTAAAAAAAAAAAATTCAATTGTTTTTTTTCACTTTAAAAAAATTATTGTTGTTCCAACAATGTCAAAAATTTAATATTTTTAGAATATTAATATTTAATATTGAAATTAATCTAAACAATTTTTTTTTGTCAATTTCAAATTTTTATGTTTACCAATAATATATATATATATATATATTAAAAAGTGTTTGCAGAATTGAAGCTTATTTTTTTTTTTTATCATGAATCGAAGTCATATATTTTTTGTTAACGAACGTTGTTCATGACTTTTCCCAACCTTGGAAAGATAAGAAAGACAAATATGAATAAGAATATGTAAAATTTGTTAAGAAGATCCCCCTTATTGTATATTGGCCTACTTGAGTGGGTTTTTTTTTTTTTTTTTTTTTTTTTTAATAAGTAAATCAAAATATTGGTGTTTTTTTGTTTTCTAATAGATAACGCGAAATATAATTTACTATATATATTTTAGTGATTTGCGATAATAATTAAAATCGAATTGCTCTTTTGAAGTTATGGTAATTGAAAATAAATTTTTAATCGAAATATATTTGAAAATATTTCTTGAACAAGTTATACTTTTTTTTTTAAACATTCAACCTTGAACTGTTGCGATAACAGGTAATTTCTGTTATAATGTGTTAAAAGTAAAAAATTATATATAATAACAATTACTTTTTTTTTTTTAATAACTTGTTTTACTTTCGGAGTGTTTAAAATTTTTTAATTTCAATTACTAATATTTTTTTATTTAAAAATTTTAATTTTTTTTTTATTCGCAAAAATGGTTCTTAATGGAGATTTAAAATTAATATGCTCGCGAGGATGATATTCAATATGTATATATATATGTATAGGCGCAGAGGTGAAATGTATTCGTATTTTCTTCTTGGTGTTTTTAAGATTAATTTTCACATGCGGATTTTTCTATTCTGACTCATAAGATGCCGTAAGAGTACAATGCACCTTCGCAATCAAAGTTATATCTAGAATTTTTCTTCACTATCTTCCATTGCATCTGCTTTCGTGACGTGTCAAGAAAAGGGTTGACATTTAGTTCGATCGTAGTATAGTTCTTCTGCACTTGCCGCCGCGTTTTATGCGGGGCAATAATGCAAGCGTGGGTAGGTGAATGTATGAAATCGGTAATCACACGTAAGACTTATACCATTTCAAGACAAGCCACCGTAGCGAAATCTTTTTTTTTTTTTCATCTTTATGAAAGTTACATCCAATATATATTTCTATAGACATTTCAAATATTTGTTATTTATTTATTTACTCCCAACATTGGAGTTTGGATATATGAAGAGAATAATTTGCATCAGGTGACTACAAGGATGACAGATTATTACCTCGTTATTCACAATCATTTTGTTATTCCTTGAACCTCTCATTAATCTTGTATATAATTTAGTTGACAGGAGTCGCAGCATCCATGCCCCAAAGGCATATGTGACATTTATTTCGTGTGTCTTTTGATTTTACATATTAGGCAGTCTCTCATTATTTTCTTAGTTTTATAATAACTGGGGCACCTATATATAATTTTATATGACGTGATTGGGACAGTTAATTTCAATTCTATTTAAAGTGAACAAGTCTATTATTTGGCTTTCAGAAAATGAACGCGTTAATTATCATAGTTTAATGAGAATATTATTTGATGTATAAAATATTTTTAAAATAGAAATTTAAACGCAAAATTAGATATTCTTTATATTTTCGAATTTAAATTTGTCTACACACTAATTTAAAAGTATCAAATTGATACCAAAAATATCAAATTGATATAAAAATTTTGTATCAATTTGATATTTTTGGTATCAATTTGATACTTTTAAATTTGTGTGTATATAAATTAGATTTTTGAAAAGTTTCCAATTGAAATAATTTTGCAATAATTAAAAACTTGTGTATATAATTTGATGCTTTTTTTATTTTTTATTATGAGTTTGTCTGCAAATAAAATCTTTTTTAATCTTTTGCGCGAAAAAAAAAATTCTATGGTAAGAAGAAATTTAATCTGATCTACTTCCTCTAATAAAATATTAAAAAATAAATAATAAATTTTCTCTTTAAAAAAAAAAAAGAATCTATAAATTGTAAACTTTGAAATATTTTCACGAAAAAAAAAACAAACTATACTTTAGTTTTAAACGTGAAGAAATGGATAATTATAAATGACGTTGATATAGAAAAAAAGCAAGCTTATTATGAGAACCTTATTAAAGCAACAATTAAGTAGCAATAAATATGAAAAGAATAATTAAGGAGGTAATGTTTCTCTATACTTCTAGGAGGTTCAGGTACATACCAGAAAGTGAAAGCGTAATGCTTATAATATGAGGAGTATTTCTCACATTAATTAAAAAAAAAAAAAAAAAAAAATTTCATTAATATTATTCTTTAGAATTTCCCGTTTGATATAATATATATATTTAATAATTAGTGTGATTTTGGTGATTTTCTAACAAATTTAAAAACTATTTATTCTACTTAATTATTTTATTTATATTCTAAGTAATAACTTTATGACATTTTATGATTTTTGAAATTATTTTTTCATGTAAATAATTTAATGATTATAAAATTATTGAAGATTTGATATAAATTATTATTAAAATTATTAATTAAGTAATTAATTAAATTATATTACTGAAATAAATTTTACGAAATATATAGTTTTTTTGTTAAAAGATTCGTCAGAAGATTTAATTTCCGATGTAAATATTATAAAGTTATGAAAGTTTATATTGGGGAATTTTTTTTTTTTTCTTTACGATAAGAATAAAAATATTGTAATTTAGTTTCTTTTTTTTGTTAATTACTCATTTTGTTTCTTTTTAAATATAAAATTTTATTTTTCAACCGATTTGTCATTCAGGTAATGTCTCGTAGACTGACCGAATTCTTTTACTTTCATTGTGAAATGTTGAACGCTAAGCTTCGGAATAAAATTCGAAACTATTTCGCGGAAAGATACTTTTATATTTGCTTATAGGCAAGTAAAACCTCCTTCTAAAACATAGAATTGCATTTAATGCTACATTGTTATGAAATTTTTTTTTTTGTTTATATTTTGCAATATAAATTTTGTCATTATCATTTTTCTCTCTTTTCGTATATATAGCTAAATTTGAATTAGTATACAAAGTTTAACTAATTTGGAATTAATGTCTTGACATTTTTTCGATATAAAATTAGATAACTTTTACTAATAAGTGAATAAAATTGTTTTCATTTAGTAAAATTTAACTAAATCAAAATTCAGTCAAAGGGTATATTCTTTCTTTTAAATTAATTTTGGTTTTTTAAAAAGTTAAAATTCACATCTATTAGATTTTAGTATTTTATTTGTAGGCACAGTATAGTCTCACAAGATCATAAAGATAAATATTTTAACATAGTTTTCTTTAACAATAGTTCATTCTATTGTCATAATTTTTATGACTCAAAGGAAAATGCTGAAGATGATTATGTTTTAACTTAATTTATTCTTTTTCCCTCTGATTTGCTACAATTCAAAATTAAAATGCTTTACATCTAGAGAAAAAATACATTTGCCTCTGAGCTAAATTAAATATTTACTAGCTGTTTTATATAAATTTTATTTTGTTGGAATAAAAATTTGTAAGCAACATTTTTATGTATAACAAATAAATAGTTATTTAGTTCTATATTTGATA